CCTCCTCCTCCTCCTCCTCCCTCCTCCAACTCATGATCATCGTCATCGTTATGATCATGAGTTACAGGAGGATCATGATCGTCGTCGTCGTCATCATCATCATCATCTCCGGCCCCCTCATCTCCATCATCAACTTCATTATCACCTGAAAATGGATGTGCAGATCTACATCCCACGGTATCTTCGACTCTATCCCCAGCATCGTCCTCACTCGCAGCACAAGTCGGTTGAGAAGGCAACACCAGACCGGCACACTGATAGCAAGAGTGACAGGAAAGGTGTTGGGGACCCCAGGGAAGTCAGCCGAGGAGAACGAGTCAAGCATGATACATCCCCCTTCCTTAGCAGAGAGCAGAGCAAGAACAAAGTTGGCGAAGGTCTCCTCCTCCCTCTCCCCCTCCTGGTGGATCGGAGGCAGCGGAAACTCGGCGTTGAAGAGCAATTGATCCGACGGACGAAGCCAAGGGCCGTGGGGGATGATACTGACCTGCGAGACAAGGTTTCAAGGGGACGGAGGTGGGAGGGAGAATGGAAGAGAGGGAGAGGGAGAGGGAGAGGGAGAGGGAGAGGGAGAGGGAGAGGGAGAGGGAGAGGGAGAAGGAGAGGGAGAGGGACAAGGTAGATCATTCCCCCACGATCTCGCACCAGGGGGTAGGTGTAGTGAGAGGAGACATTTCCAACAAAGTCGATGTCTTCTATCAACGACTGGATCTCGCTATATACTGCCAGGTCAGTTGCGTTCTTCATCGCAAAGACCTCCTCGACATTCACATGGCGAAGATAGTCATTCAACATGTTTTCTCTAATCCCCTCAACCCCTCCTCCCACACCCTGCTGCCTCCAAACTTCCTCCTCATCTTCCTCTGTTGCGTTGTTTGTTCCATTCATACTGTCCCCCCCCTGCGACCTCAACGCCCATCCTCGCAGCCGCTGCTCAAAGGTGTAGTTGCTCGACGACGACGGCTGCTCTTGCTGCGTCTCCTGCTTGGCCGCCATCGCCTTCTCTTTGAACCTGAGGATCCGGACCCAGTCGTCGTGCGCCTGATCAATGTAATTCTTGATTTCCTGAGGTATCTTGTCGAAGTGCTTTCTCATCTCTTCCCGCATACTTGAGTTGTACATCATCTCCTGGGTGACCATTCGCCATCATGACAGGCTTGCTGCATCGAAGGAGACCTATACCTCAACCGACGGTTGCGTCCCTCCTCCACCTTCACCGCCTCTCAAGCAAAACCTTGACCTCCCATGGGACCCATGATGTACCGAAACATCAAGACACTCGCGGCCTCTCACCGAGTGACTGCCATGCACGGGACGAAGTACCTGCAACATGAGTTAGCACTTGTAGCGTGAAGTTCTGCAAGGAACAAGCAGGCACATTCGATTGGAGTGAACTAGCGTAAGCAGGGAGGGAGGGAGGGAGGGAGGGAGGGAGGAGGGAGGGAGGGAGGGAGGGAGGGAGGGAGGGAGGGAGGGAGAAGTATGTGGAATTATCTCACGCTTGTCTTGTAGTTCACATCAGCATCTCTTCCTTCTCCTCCTCTTCCCGCCATGAACGCGACCACCAGCAAGGATGCGCCCCATCCCCTGCATGGCGACATGTCGACTTTATGCCGGGCCTGCCCGGCCCACCCGGCCGGTGGCTCGACCACTGAGAAAAAAGAACATATAGGAAAAGTATTGAACTTCGAATCCTACTTAGATCCCATAGCTCTACATATAGTAGATATTTTTTTGGGGGGGGGGTCCGCCCCACCTCCCCAAGAGAAAAAAACATGATGTGAGATATGGAAAAATGAGGCGGGGGAGGAGGAGGGAGATATGTCAGAGGTGAAGGAGGAAGTGGGGAGGAAGGGAGAGAGGGGAAGAGAGAAAGACTGAAGGGAGAGATGGGGGAGGAGGAGTTGGGGGGGGGGGGGGGATTGGAAAAAGGGAGGGAGTGGGAAAGAGGGAGAGGGAGAGATTTATTTGGGGGGATAGGGCAGGAAGATCTAAAGTGGTAGTAAGAGGTTCAAGGGAAAGAGAGGATAGAGAGAGATGGCACGCGAGAGGCTGGAGAGAGAACGATGCGTCTCAAAAAGACATGACAGGGAGTTTGATATCGCGTGTGCGAGGTTGAATGATGTGCTTGTTGAGTTGTGCGGGCACAAACATAGAATGGGAATGCAGACTAGGTGCGAGAACCGAATCGAAATATCAGCAAGAAATCAGATGGTTGCATGGCAAGAAAGGAAAGTGGGAAGATACACTGGAGTCTTTACGAAAGGAACGTGACGACGTTTGACGAGCTGCTGAAGGTGAAGTAAATTCTCAGAGATGAACAGTGTGGCAAAGCTGCAATATGAGTGTCCAGTAGAGATAGGATTTTGAAGTACTCTTATGCTGTCAAGTGATCACCGATTGATCAGACCCGCAGCAATACCGTCAGTTCGGGAGAACTTTTGTAGAGCATGCTTGCAGCTTCGGTGCTGAAACCATGCTTCCTGTCGATTCAACCATGCGCCATACCATGGAGCTGTGGGAGTATGAGATGAAGAAACAAAGATGTCCGATCAATGACTCGACGCTCGCTCTATCTCTGTCAGCCGTGTTTCTGCTTCAAACACAAAACCAGCTTGCTGATCGCGCTTGCTGCTGCATTTGCCTGAGCATCAACAAAGTAGCGGGGATGATGAAGCGAGGATTATCATCATCAAGCATGTGTTTGAATAAGTTCCATCTCAGTCATGACTGAAGGATGAGGGAGAAAAACAAAGAAAATGCTATTCCCTTTGATGGTGGATAACTCCAACAAAGTTGTGAAGTAGCGCAATACTACATGGAACAGAATGCCGCAGAACACCTTGTTCAACATCTTCCTACTCTGAGCTCATTGGTGCTGCAGGACTACTTTGCAGGGTCAAATTTCGCGGAGAGAATGAGACTAGCTTGAAAGGCAACTATCTCAGGTGAGGTTATCCATGCTCAAGCAAATCTTGTGTGTTTGGGTGGGAAAAAAAAGCAAACCATGAGCGAAGATTGGAACGCTAAATGTTGATTGTTTTAATTTCGTCTTAAATTGTGCTGAATAATTGCAATTTTGATTTGAGCGTTCTAATCTAAATTACATTAAAAACAAGCATTGATCATCAGGAGTGTGACAATGCGGTAGAATGACAAAAAACATGCAGGGTGGATCCATCCAAAATCACAGCTGAGGATCAAACCAGCTCCACGAGGGCTCCCTCCGTCCCCACCAGCTCCTCGATGTCCTCGGGGTTCAGCGGGCTCACGATGATCTCATCGATCACTCGCTGTAGCGACCCCTCGCGCCCTTCAGCCCCGTCCACTCGCTCCCACGACTCCAGAAAGCTCTGGATCATCACCGCGCTCTCCTCCTCCGGTAGAGGCCCCGCGCCCCAGTCTCGCCGGCAAGCCCCGCCGTAGCAGGCCAGCTGACCCTCCTGCTTGACGCCGTCCGCCCCCTCCAGCTCGTACGCCCCCAGACACTCCCTCAGGTGCGCCTCCGTCATGAAGTCGATCTCCCCGCAGCTGCTCTCCTCCCCCTGCTCCGTCTCAGAGGCCGTCGACGCCAGGTCGCAGCAGCCTTGGTCCACGACGTCGGAAGGACAAGCGGACGCGTGGAGGAGCTTGGCTGGCCTTGGCAGCATCGAGGTAGTGACGACGGCGTTGCTGGGCTCATCGCTCCAAGCCTCGTCCAGCTTGCGCTTGGTGGGGCTCAAGGCCTCGTCGACCTCCTCAAAGAAGCGAGGGTACGTGGGCACTCTGCACAAGAAGCTCTTCCAGCCGTCGTGGTACTCCTTGCATACCTCCAGGAACGCCTCCAGCCTGCAGCAGGTCGCAAACGGCCCGGACGTCGCCGCTATCGCTTTCCACGCCTCCACGAGCTCTCGGCGATCGTCCGGGTCGGAGGGGTTCCTCCACCGATACCCCGAGTATACATATCGCACTGCAGGCACCACCAGCGTCAGTCGCCGGACATGCTGCCCCCTTCCTCCGATCAGCTCACCTCCATCCTCCTGCGAGTCCTCGTGTCCTGATCCTTCCATCTTGAAGGACTTCTTGGCTCGGAGCTTGGTGAAGCCGTTCCTCTCGAGGACCTTGTTGAACTCCACCTCCGTCAGCCCATGCCGCCCCACGTAAGGGTCTTGTCCTCGGATGGCAAACGGGCACGCTTGCGCCAGGCAACGGAACAAGGAGCAATACCCCGTCCGGGATACGGTAGAGTCAGGATCTTCGCACGCGCAGACCTGCAGGAGGAGTCATCAGGGGGGCTTGGGGCAGGGATGGGAGGAGGCTAACCGCAGAGGCGAACTGTAGAGCGAGCTTCTTGTTTTCGACGGAGGCAGAAGGTCTGACCATGATTTTATCTTTACGATTGTTCTTTTGTTTTTCCTGATAGGGAGAACAGGTTGAGAGGGAACTATTGTTGTTTGAAGGAGACGAAGAGATGGTTGATGTATCCTGTATCTTGTTGACGAGGTCTTGTGTATCTTGTTTCTAACTTCTTGTGTCCTTCAAGGTTTGCCTCTCTTTTACGATCTCTGGCTTTCGTTTCCCGACCAGCATAAAACCCTTTTAACCTCTTAAAGGAAAGAGCTCGCGTACCCCTTCCATCAGACTACCCACCCACCATCTTGACCCAAAATGACAGTCAATGTACCGGGTGAAAAGTCAATGCGACCCAACAACCCCCTCAGGTCGGTCCTCCGATTCCTGATGGTCTTCATGACAAAGGGCGTGAGACGAGGTTCATGACACCGAGCATGAGACCCTCGATGGATTACCAGGGGGTACTTTGAGTGAAATGGGGGGGTTAGAACGTCCCCGAGCTCCTAAAAGTTTTCCAGGTTTACTACACGGTGAATTTGTAAATCATTATTATTATAAAATGTTAAAATGAAAGATCGTGCGATCCATAAAAAAAAATTCCGAAAAAAGAAACCTGACACCAAAGTCATCCTGGATGCATTTCTCTACTTTACCCGTACACGCGTTTGTTATTCCCCGTCCTCCTCCCTCTATTGCTCCTCCTTCTCTCCCTCCTGGCTTGGGGGTAAGGTTTCGGTCTACCTAGCCTCCCTCCCTCCCTCCCTCCCTCCCTCCCTCCCTCCCTGTGTATTCCACTTCCCTTCCTTCGAATTTTATAAGCAATCTGAGCTTTCGAAATCTCAATTCATAGCGTCTTCAAAACTCTCTCGCAATAAAGCAAGAATGCACTCAACTCTATCATTCTCAGATCATGTCGATGGCTGCCTGCGCATTACTGCGGTCTGACGAAATCTGGACAATCTCGTAGATATGATCATCCGGCCTCGATCATCCAAGGAAGAAATGTTTTGTTTCAAAACTTGTTTTGCTTTGGCTCTCTTCTCTATGTAGGAAGTACTGGGACTGGTCACTTAGCTTGAGAATCTAAGGTATCCTTTTGTGAGTCTGTGTCTGAAAACAGATCTGATATATTCTACATCAAATGCGTTAAAACATCCAAAACTGTACAATGACTTGCTCAAATACGGCCTAGTCTCAAGTGGTACTTAAAAAGTACCGTAGCTTGACTTCTCGTGTCAACGTTAAACCAGCTCCACGAGGGCTCCCTCCGTCCCCACCAGCTCCTCGATGTCCTCGGGGTCCAGCGGGCTCACGATAATCTCATCGATCACTCGCTGTAGCGACCCCTCGCGCCCTTCAGCCCCGTCCACTCGCTCCCACGACTCCAGAAAGCTCTGGATCATCACCGCGCTCTCCTCCTCCGGTAGAGGCCCCGCGCCCCAGTCTCGCCGGCAAGCCCCGCCGTAGCAGGCCAGCTGACCCTCCTGCTTGACGCCGTCCGCCCCCTCCAGCTCGTACGCCCCAAGACACTCCCTCAGGTGCGCCTCCGTCATGAAGTCGATCTCCCCGCAGCTGCTCTCCTCCCCCTGCTCCGTCTCAGAGGCCGTCGACGCCAGGTCGCAGCAGCCTTGGTCCACGACGTCGGACGGACAAGCGGACGCGTGGAGGAGCTTGGCGGGCCTTGGCAGCATCGAGGTAGTGACGACGGCGTTGCTGGGCTCATCGCTCCAAGCCTCGTCCAGCTTGCGCTTGGTGGGGCTCAAGGCCTCGTCGACCTCCTCAAAGAAGCGAGGGTACGTGGGCACTCTGCACAAGAAGCTCTTCCAGCCGTCGTGGTACTCCTTGCATACCTCCAGGAACGCCTCCAGCCTGCAGCAGGTCGCAAACGGCCCGGACGTCGCCGCTATCGCTTTCCACGCCTCCACGAGCTCTCGGCGATCGTCCGGGTCGGAGGGGTTCCTCCACCGATACCCCGAGTATACATATCGCACTGCAGGCACCACCAGCGTCAGTCGCCGGACATGCTGCCCCCTTCCTCCGATCAGCTCACCTCCATCCTCCTGCGAGTCCTCGTGTCCTGATCCTTCCATCTTGAAGGACTTCTTGGCTCGGAGCTTGGTGAAGCCGTTCCTCTCGAGGACCTTGTTGAACTCCACCTCCGTCAGCCCATGCCGCCCCACGTAAGGGTCTTGTCCTCGGATGGCAAACGGGCACGCTTGCGCCAGGCAACGGAACAAGGAGCAATACCCCGTCCGGGATACGGTAGAGTCAGGATCTTCGAACGCGCAGACCTGCAAGAGGAGTCATCAGGGGGGCTTGGGGCAGGGAGGGGAGGAGGCTAACCGCAGAGGCGAACTGTAGAGCGAGCTTCTTGTTTTCGACGGAGGCAGAAGGTCTGACCATGATTAGCGCCACAACAACTTGATGTTTGCAATTGCTTTCGTTCCTCCTGTTGAGAACACTCCACAACTTCTTGCGTATGACTCTCGATCAATCGGAACGATGTATTCTATCTTCGTTTCTGTCTTGCTGTTTTGGGTAGCTCAGTTCTGTCCTACCCACGTCTTGGTTTCCGTTCTTGCTCCTGGCTCTGCTTCTTCTGTTCTTGTTTCTACTTTTATTTCCCCACGGGTGGTGATACGGCGAGGAGGAGGGGGGAAAGGGGGGGACGGTCGCGGTGAAAAACCACTTTGTAGGGGGTACGAAGGGGTACCTGCTCATAGGTAGTAAAAATCTACGGTAGGGTGGGTCTTAAGGACAGGGGTGATGTTTCTTTGCGGGACTTTACTAGGGTAGGAGGTTCGCTGTGGATACGGAGGGGTGGGTGGTTGTTATCAAGGCGCGGTACCTTCTTTACAATTCAATGATTCCTGACTACCCCTGTTTTCCGAAGTTCCAAGGAACGTTCTCATCCATGACCCCCCACCCCCCCAAACCCCCACCACCCCCAGCACCCCTCACCCCTTGCAGCCCTTTAACCATGACTGCAGAGGGCACTTCATGATACACCGGCATGACACCATAGACCGCTAGAAGCCTTCTTTCGAAATGCTCTAGATGTGTTCCAGATCCCTCGGTGCTGCTCCAGATCTTGCCCTGTCTGGAACGAACTCCCAAATATCCTCGAAAGGGCTTCCAGATATGCTTCAGATCTAGAAGACGTGCGGTCAAACCTCTTGCGGCCCGCCAACGAAATTATTTACTACAGGTAAGTCTACTATATATATATTCGGCTCGGACTCGATGATCAACTGGGTCTTTACTTCTGTGAAAAAAAAATTATATTGATATTAGGATCGAAGACGCCGTGACGAGGCTCGGCAATTAGCCAACGCCGTATGATCTCCAGACTGAGATCCAACGGCGATTCATCTGAGATCGTATCCAGATTTTAAAACATTTTTGTTCAGCTACAGTATAATTCTAAAAGTCACCCCGGGGTTCGCCGAGTCCCGGGCGTCCAGGCACCTGAAAGTTCACAACCGTGGTCACGTCACCAACTTTTGACAGGCCAAATGAAATCCATTTCGAACTATGAACTTTCAAATTAACACTCAAAAGACTCCTGAGAGCTTTCAAAATTTGTCGACGTGCAGTGAAACATCATGAATCATCGACCGGCGCTCAGGCGCTTTACTCCGGCACGGTACCGTACCGTACCCTCTGGCCGATTTACGCCCGAGACGACCGGTGGCATGGCGCAGCCAATTCGCTGCTCCCGGGGAGTCACCGTGGCACGCCCTGAGATGCTGACGTGACTGGGTGGCAGTAGTACCAGCCCGGGGTTCCCCGAGACGGACTACGACTATACTAGTTTTAGTCAATGGGTCCTCAGTACGGTATAGTAGTGACTCCAGGCCCCCGGACTCGGACGGCGGTACTACCGTACGCCGTGACGGCCGGGTGGTCTGCCGACTCCGATCCGGCGGCCCTCAGCCCGGCCCCTTGGATGTCTGACATCCCGGTGGCGGCTCAGCGGCTCATTCAGTCAGCGGCGGCTCGGCGGCCCTCACTGCCTGCCAGCCGCGCCTCTGACTTGACACGACTCGATGCCGACTCGATGAGGCCGCTCACGTGGCACTTGATTGCCGCGCACTGTCAGTGACGTGTCTGGCACAGCCTGTGTAGGAGTCGGATCGCACCGGACGCCGGCGGGCGGCCCCTCCGAGCCTGGCACCCGTGGCCCCCGGGCCCGGTACGGAGTCCGGGCGGCCCGGCCGGGAGCCCGCCTTTCTTCCCATCATCATCGAGTCGCCAGCACTGATGTTTTACAACTCCTGATGGTGCATCCGGCGACACCGTTGAACCGGGTTGAACGCTGCCATCGTACTATGATGCCACGGCGGCGTGTAAGGGAGGACGCCGAACGCTACTAGCCTAGATCGTGCCGTTGTGTCTTGAACGACTGCCCGGCCTCCTTGCAGGCTGCGGCAGCCGCCGCGCATGGCAGCAGTGTCAAGTTGTCAGTCACGGTTCGACACCGAGCATTGCGGGCCGGGACGGTCCCGCAATGCTCGTCCAGAACAGTGAATCACTACAACACCAAGCTTCGCTACCAAAGCAGGTCACTGGGCCCCCGGCCGAAGCTTTACGGCCGGGGCAAGTTGCAGACGTCTACAGCGAATTCTCAAGGCACCTCAGTCCGCTGGATCGCACATAAAGGTGAAGAGTAGAGATGTGAAGTTGATTTGATAACAGTAGAGATGTGAAGTTGATTTGATAACAGTAGAGATATGAAGTTGATTTGATAACAGTAGAGATATGAAGTTGATTTGATAACAGTAGAGATATGAAGTTGATTTGATAACAGTAGAGATATGAAGTTGATTTGATAACAGTAGAGATATGAAGTTGATTTGATAACAGTAGAGATATGAAGTTGATTTGATAACAGTAGAGATATGAAGTTGATTTGATAACAGTAGAGATATGAAGTTGATTTGATAACAGTAGAGATATGAAGTTGATTTGATAACAGTAGAGATATGAAGTTGATTTGATAACAGTAGAGATGTGAAGTTGATTTGATAACAGTAGAGATATGAAGTTGATTTGATAACAGTAGAGATATGAAGTTGATTTGATAACAGTAGAGATATGAAGTTGATTTGATAACAGTAGAGATGTGAAGTTGATTGATAACCAGTAGA